GCCACTGGGTGACTCTTGGATACTTCTGGCAGCCTTCTTCCATCCACACTTGCCTTACATCATCACCGGTGTATCATTGCTTGGTCGGATTGATGCCCGGGATGAGTCAAACAATAAGCGGGTGGCACGCTACAACATGGAGGTAAGCTTTAATTTACGAGGCATGGCTCCTTGCAAATACTCCGATCGTGTCATCGCATTCGATAACAGAGGGAAGTTCCTCCTATTGAAGATCGTGGCAAAAAGAAGAAGCGAGGAAAGTGAAGAGAAGATGCTGACGGCGCCTCAGTTTGCAGAAGGGCCCCGGGTGCACACACCAATCGATGATGCTACGGATGAACCAGCAGCTGCAGCGGTATCGAAGAAAAGGGTTGTGGAGATGGAAGGCGCGAAAAGTGAAGAGGAGATGCGGACAGCGCCTGACTTTGCGAAAAGGCCCCGGACTCACATGGCAATCAATGCTGTTGATGAAGCAGCAACAGCAGCAGCAGCAGAAGCAGCATCGACATCAAAAAAAGGGGCCGTGAAGATAGAAGACAACGCCGCCAAGTGTGGCAAACCAGAGTGGGAGAAGACAATTCAGCAACAGGAGGTGTCAGGCTTGGAGCTGGCGTGCAGGGAAGCAGCAGTGAATGAATTGAGAGAAGAACATGCAAAGGGGCTCCAAAAGCTAGAAGAGGACTTAAGGCTGCAGTGGATGAACGCACTGAATGAATTGATAAAAAATCAGGTCGAGAGGGTCCAGAAGGTGGAAGAGGACATTGAGGAAAAGCGCATGAAAGCAGTGAATGAATTGAGAGAAGAGCATAGAGAGAGGCTTCAAAAGTTGGAAGACGACTTGAAGATGAAGTGCATGAAAGGAGTGAGCGAATGAAATGAAAGAAGAGCATGCAGAGAGGATGTGAAGGAAGTGCGAGAAGAGCATGCAGAGAGGCTGTGAAGGAAGTGCGAGAAGAGCATGCAGAGAGGGCCCGGAATGCGGAAGATTTAGCTTGGACCCTGATAGCTTCTTGTGACTGCGGCTCTGTAGTGCATTTGGTGTGTTTGCACTTGGGGTGTTTGTACGTTTTCCACAAACACTGTGTTCTTCTATATGTGGTGGGAGGCAGCATAAGTAAAGTTTTGCGTTGCCTGAGTGGAGTAGGTATCAGATGGGAAATGTTCTTCACTTTGGTGGCGGCAGTGGCGTCATGCTGTCTCCATCATATCATATGTAAAGCATATTACTTGCACGCACTTTTCACGCCACCGTGAAGGACTTTCTTCTTCTTCTTCTTCTTTTCCTGTTCCTTACCCTTTCTGTTACTGGATTCTGACTCTGCTGATCTGTTTATTACACGGTCACTCACTTGTCTTTGTAGTATTGTGTACCCTTGACTCTTGACCCCCCACAAGGGAAACTGCAACCAGACTATCTTTTATCTGATTGTGATCAGCAGTTAGTCAGGAGGTAACTTAGCCTCCTGGCTACCTATAGTCAAACTGCAAGCAGACTATCTTTTATCTGATTTTGCGCTGCTGCATCGCTGTTGCCTGTGCTTGTGAAGATCTAACAGAGTCTATGTGATGATGACAGTCTGAACTGACCTGCGTCAATTCCAGCACCTGGCTGTGAATGGAAAAGACCGGGACTGTCGGAGATTTGCTGGATATAGCATAGTTCGACAGTAGGTAGCCAGGAGGCTAAGTTACCTCCGAGTCCGGGAGAAATTACTGCTTGCACTATAGCTCTTACTAGAAGTGAGAAAGCTGGCTCGGGGACTCTGCCTTAAACCGCAAGTACACGGCCCCAGCCTTGGAGAAAGTTTTTGTCGCCACAAGCAAAACTCGGAGGGGCCGCGCGGAGGGGGGCGCCGTTGAAAAAGAAAAATCGGCGGCCTCTGAAGTGGTGCGGGTTTCGTGCTGACACCAGCAGGCCGATGTGTGTTGTACTGGTGCTTCAACAGAATGTCCGATCCTTGATCTCCAGCTGACAGTGTGATTGGGTGCCCCGCTGGCTGTTCGATTTGGCTCTTGATTTCGGACCAGTCATTTGGCCGTCGATTCTGCTGTTCATTCCAGGTCGTCCATTTTTCCGTCAACTGTGGTGTGCACGGTTGCTATAATTGTGCCTTGACATGGAGGCCATTGTTTTGGCGATTGATTTGAGCTTCCGACTGGCGTTGTGTGTTACTGCCGGCACTCTTAGTCCGTCTTAGAAGTGAAGAATCCACTGCGAGGGGGCTCACTGGCCACCTGTACAAACGGTCAATCTCCTCCTGTCACAGGGTGGCCATTGATTTTAGCTGTTGATCTCGGGTGATTGATTTGTGTGTTAATTTGGTTGTTGGTTGATTTAAAGAGTATGTTGTACACAGTTGTGCTTGTACTGTTTTTAGGGAGGCCAGTGTTTCACTGCTTGATTTGGCTGTTAGCTTAGCTGTTCGTTTACAGGGTGATTTTGCAGTAGGTTGGCTTTTTTTTGCCAAATACATATGCTGATGTCAGGTATTCACTGCCTAATAGTGCCTATGTGCCACCTGAAAATAGTTTCTCGGTTCCCTGAAAAAAAATGTTGTCTTTGTCGGAAGTTCATCCTCTATCGGTCTGTCTTTCTGGCCGTCCATCCATCTGTTCATCTCTCTCTCTCTCTCTCTCTCTCTCTCTCTCTCTCTCTCTCTCTCTCTCTCTCTCTCTCTCTCTCTCTCTCTCTCTCTCTCTCTCNCTCTCTCTCTCTCTCTCTCTCTCTCTCTCTCTCTCTCTCTCTCTCTCTCTCTCTCTCTCTCTCTCTCTCTCTCTCCCGCGCGCGCGCGCGCTCTCTCTCTCTCGCTCTCCTCCCCACCCTCACAGCCCATCCCTCTGTGTGTCTCCATTTGTTCAGCCTATATCATTACTTGATTGCTGCCGGACAGTATGCTCAGGACGGCAGTTGGGAATTTGCTTGCATATCTGGTTGGAGATATTCACTTCTTCCTTTGTTTTTCTTTCATTTCCTCTACCTCTTCCTTCTTCCACGTCCCTGTCTTGTGTCTCAGGTCCAGTTGTCATGGACTTCCCTGTCTCTACGTTGATTGCCACTTGCTCTCTCCTCAACCTTCTTCTCCAAGCAAGCAAAGCCTGCTGGTCAAGACGATTGGAAATCAAATAGTGAGTTTGTGAACCCCTGTATCACTTTTTTTTGAAGTTTTTTCTCTTTCCAGATGGTTTCAGATTTGGTTTTCAACGTGATCACGGATTGTTTGCCGACTGCTCTGCCAGCTTGTCTGTTGAGGGCTGAAGCTTTATGTTTTGGAAAGCACTTCCGATGCTGTTACGTTGTTGAATCAGCTTGAAAACGTGAATCACAAATCGTTTTCCTTTTCATTTGGTTTGTGAACAGCGCACAAACAATAATCATTGAATAATGCACTTTCTGTCTTTTCTGTCACAGACTTGTAACATAAGGGTATTGTTTTGTGTGGCCTTCATGATGTATGTGACTAAGGTGGAATGCCCCTCACTGTTACAGACAGAGAAATCTTCCTTTTTTTTTGTTTTTTCCCCCTCCACTTCCCCCCCCTTTTCCTCTCCTATTTTTGAAAGCGCAAGGGCGTCGAGAACTTGAGATATCATCATTTGAACTGACTGGCCCTACTGTCTTCACCCAAATAGAACGCCCGGTCGTTATCGCTGTATGTAGACTGAAAATTTCACCACATACGGCTATAATGACCGGGCGTTCTATTCGGGTGAAGACGGTAGGTAGTTTAAATTTGCAGACTTTTGCAGTATTGTACTCATCTGCTCCATCTGCTAGTTCGGACTCAGATCTGTACTTCAACAGTTCAGACCAGGGGGGGTGTACCAATAGAGCTAGGCCAGTTGGTGGGCTGAGAAATCTGCCTTTTCTGCTGTTTGCTGATATTGCCGAGTCTGAGTCTATTTTGCTGAGATTTCCGAGTCTGAGCTAGCTTTCCAGCCCAGCCGCACGGGACACCCCGCCGCAATACCAGAAGGTGTTTACATATTTTGAATGGTAATTACAATAACAATAATAATTATTATAGTAATAACGGTAGCAACCTTAATAAGCGCGAGATAGCCGATGCAATACTGAATTTTGCTCGACTATGATGCAAGAAAAGCGAGAGGAGAAGGAAAGGCGGAAGGAGGAAGAAGAGAGAAGGAGGAGGGAGGAGGAGCATAAGGCATTAAAAGAAGAGAGAGAAAGGTTGGAAGAAGAGACGCAGAAAAGAGCAATTGAGCGAGAAGCAAGGCTTGGCTTAATCATCGATAACAAGATGGCGAGCAAGGATCAGGGCTACCAAGTGATTGTCGAACAACTTGTTGGTGGAACCTAGGCTCATGTGTCTATAATGATATAATCAGACTCTAATGGGCCAGGCGTTCCTTAAACCACCAGTACATGGCCGTGGGCAACTGGAGAACCTGTTTTGAGCCTTTCCGAGTCCAAAACTGAAATCAGGGTTTCGGGGTCAAATTTTATGTTTTTTTAAGTTTTTTTTTTTGGCCTGTTCTTGTTTTGGTTCAAGGTTGCTGTGTGCCAAATTTTGTGTCATTTGGAGAATTGGAATTTCCTCTGTTAAGATTTCTGAAATTTCTCAAGATTTCTGAAATGGAAGTGTTGGCGAAATTTCATGAAAATGCACTTTTGCTTTGCTGTTTTATACGTTTTTAATTATATATTTTTGGATTTTGTTTTGCAGTTCGTTAGTATGGTCTCCACTCTATGAATTGGTGGCAAGTTTGATTCAAATGACCCTTTGGTTTTCTTATAAATGGCAATGCCATGGCAAGTGGTCTGAAAATTAGGGTCTCTGTTAACCTTCTCTCAATTGAGGAGGTCGAGCGCCGTAGATGAAATGTGAATCGGAGGTGGGCGTCCTCCGCAATTGAGCGCCGTAGATGAAATGTGAATCGGAGGTGGGCGGCCTCCGAAAGGGGCCTGCGGTCTATAGCTGGCATGTACTGGTGCTTTAAAACCACCAGTACCTTTCTCAGCTATCGATGCGAGCCTAAAACTGCCCTGCACGGCAAGGTAGTCCCGAGCCTGACCGCCTCCCGTGTTAACCGGTGGGCATTTGTTTTTCAAGAAGGGAAAGGTACTGGTGGTTTAAAGGGTTTGATGGGGCGTATGTCACAATTACCTGCAAGAAAGAAGATAAGGACGACATCAGGAACAGGAGGCCGATCAATTGTGTTCGGTAAAAGACTCCTGCATATACTGGCTCGGATCACGCCCTCTGTTGGCGTGCCCGAGATAGGCTTTCTGCCGCACCGCCAGATTACCACGTCCATCATGCTTGCGTGCCAGGTATTGGAAGAGGCCAAGATATCGGACCAAAAGGTGTCCAAATGGTGTCCAAAAGGTGTCCACAAGGTGGCTCTGGACTGGATCGACTTGGAAAAGGCATATGACCAAGTAACATGTGACCGGGTAAGGTGGGCGGCCGTGGGCCTTTCTTCTTGAAGCTCTGAGGAAAAAGGTGGTTGGGGAGGTCTTTGTGTTCTGGGTTGCTCTTCTGTTGAGAACGGCAAGGGTCGGCAAAGGTCGGCAAGGGTCGGCAAAGGTGGGCAAGGGTCGGCAAAGGTCGGCAAGGGTCGGCGTCACGATCAGTCGTAAAATGTCCCCCTCATTGGAGGTTACCAGTTCAGTGTGGTAGGGATGTCCACTCTTTCCCTCCCCCTATGATATATATCATCTACACGGACTGCTACATCATTTGGTAAGGGTGGATAGGGAAACTATATAGGCCTATTGGTGGAAGGAGGGGAAATCAGATCTTCAACGTTAACTTTGCAGATGATACTACAGTCTTCACCCGAATAGAACGCCCGATCATTATAATAGCAGTATTTGGTGCAGCTTTCAGTCCAGAAACAGCAATAATGACCGGGCATTCTATTCGGGTGAAGACGGTGGCACCATCATTCCGGCGGTGCCACAACAGCTCATATCCTTGAGACAGATTCTTCACACTTTTGCTTTGCATGTGGGAGCACGGGTCAAGTGGACCATTTCTCTTATTGTTCTGCCGCAGGGAGTTAACCTTGAAGCCCAGTGGGGAATGCGGCTGTTGCCAGACGGCGTGGGGTCGAGGTAATCTAGGGGTAATGATGTCCTCGATGGGGGCTGGGGAGAGCCAGATGGATG